TTGTTTTGTTTTGATCAGATTGATTAAATTGTTCCTGAAAAACTTTTATTACTTTATTTCTGAAACTTGAGCTCTCCCCCGGTGCAATCACTTCTTCAGCAACTTCATTAGAGTTACTTACGTTTCTTATTTTTGTTCTTTCGTACTCATCTTTATCTAATTATCTCATCTTATTTTGCATTGATTTGTACATTGCAGACAAGGATTTAGTAGTTTCGTTACTCATGATAACTTGACTGCTATACTCATCTTTAATTACAGTAAACAGTTCCTGTATTTTGCATTGACACTCTCTGAATTTTTTTCCTTCTTTGGCTTCTAATCTCACAACTTGAGGAATGCTTTTAATGACATTGCTAGTTGATTCACAAAAATCTTTCATTGTTCTGATAAGTTCGCTCATCTTATTTTCCTGATGTTAAAAGCGTCTCTGGACTGAAATGTCACATTTTCTAAAATTCTCAATTTTTTCATTGTTAGTTCTTAAAATATTATTATTTTTTTTAAATAATTTAGGATCATATTGAATAGGAATATTTTCAATTATTTTAGGTTTACCTGAACTCATTTTATTACTTAATTCTTTTAACACATCTTCTTTTGATAAAATTTTCTCATCTTCATCGCATCTTTCTTTCATAACCTCATCTCCTTTAGTCCCATTTTTATCTGCGTCACTCATCTCGTAATCATCGACTATCTCATCTGATTTCTCATTTGTCTCTTCTTCAACTTCACCCGAGTGAAACTCTTCATTCTCGTCCGTAACCAGAGAAATCTAATAGGAGTATGGAAGTGTACGCTTCTATCCAACATTATAAGATTCGTAAAAATAATTAAATTTCAGGTGATTTGAAATTAAAAATTTTGAAAATATTTTAATGAATGAAAAACTTTATATAAATGTAACGGGTTTAACATCCGTTCCTAGCACTAAATAAGTTTGTAAAGATAATTAATTGAAAAATTTGAAAACAATTAATATTTTTAAAGAATTTGATTACAACAAAATAAACAAAATTTATACTGAAAAATGTTTTCTTAAATTTTTTTTGAAAAAAAAGTTTAAAAAAAAGTTTAGAATATCTAAAAATTTTGTTCTAAAAAAATTAAAAACTGAAATTATTTTAAAATGTAAGAAATAGAATTTTTTCATAATTATACTTATTTTTATATGTACACTGAGAGAAGAAAAGCACGGAATCTGAAATGGAGAGGGAATATTGAGGGAATATTCCTCGGTGACATTCATAGAATATTCCAGTGACATTAAGGGGATATTCAGGTGATATTGTGGAAATATTCCAGTGATATTGAGGGAATATTCCACGGTTACATTGAATTTTTTTTAAAATGTGTTTTTAATCTTCCTGCTTATTCAAATAACAATTTATAACATATTTCTATTATTTCAACACTTAAAAAAAATTCAATATAACCGTGGAATATTCCCTTAATATATATATTGCATAAACTTTATTATAACCTATTCAATTAGGAACAATTATTATTTATAATAATATATTTCCTACAGATCAGAAGTGGGATACTTCTCGCGTGACGATACTGCGAGTGGTTTCTGATAGAGTTTAACAAATCATTTTTTTTAACTGTTCTTGATTTAGGTGAAATATCAGAATCGTTATTATTTGAAACAGTAAAAAAAAAGTCTAGTGACAAACATTCAAGGAGACATCGGTCTAAAGACCGTGACTGTAAAGATTCATCTTCACGGCGATCTAAGGCAAAAGACGATAGAAGACAAAAATCAAGTAGTTCCAAGAAGCGAAAATATCGCAGAAGTCATTCATCAGAATCTCGAGAGGACCGTGCTGCACGCCATGAGACAATGAATAGAAGTCGATCATGGAGTAGAAGTCGATCAAGGAGCAGGTCAGCGAACAAGAGAATCACTAATTCACAAAAGGGTGAGTTCGATTTTGCAAAACTAACTGAACTGCTTACGGCAATTGTTAAATCAGGCAGTAGTAAAACGAATAAATATTTAAATGACAAATTATTACCGGATTTTTATCCTGAGAAAAAAGATTTGTCAGCTGCGAAATGGTTAGATAAAATAAACGTGTTCGCGTTGATGTATGATTGGGATGACTCTCATAAGATATACTTAGCTTCTGTAAAATTAAAAGGAATTGCAAAAAGTTGGTACGATGGTCTTAAAATCGCACCAGTCAATTGGGAATCTTTTACGGTGACTATTTTCAAGCAATTTTCAGGGGATGAAAATTTTTAGAAGCTTTTTGAATTTGCAGGTCAATATAAAAGTACACCGGGTCAGTCTTACTTATCATATTGTTTTGAAAAAATTAAAAGAATTAATCGCTTAAATTTAGATATTCTAGAACAAAAAGTTGTTGAATTTGTCATTTACGAAATTCATGACGAGCAAATTCGAACAAGTTTAAAGACTGCAGAAAAAAAACAATAGCCGAGTTAAGTCAATGTTTGGGCTCTTTGACAGTTGAGGAGATTAAAGAAACAAAGAAACACAAAGAAGGGTTAGATAATAAACGTTTTGTAAAACACGATAAATATAAAAAGCCATTTAAATCCTATGGTCCGGATGAATCTTATAATTGCGGAGAAAAAGGACATAGGAAAAATCGTTGTCCTCAGTTAAAACATAATGAAACAAATAAAGTAGAAAGTAGTAAGCATAAAGATACGAAACCAGAATCTGTTAAATCTTCCTTTGACAAACCCTCTAAGGATAAAACAAAATGCAATTATTGCGGTACAGGATGTCATTTAGAAAAAGAATGCTACAAAAAAAGAAATAAAGAAAAAAGAGAGGGTACAGCATGACTAGAGTCCAACGGGGGGTCTGTTCAAGTGGAGGCATCGACTCCCGAGGTATTAGAAGTTGTGTCGAGTAAAGTAAACAAGCCATTAAAAACATGTGTTTTAGATTCGAAAGAAAGAATATGTACAGTAGATTTGGAAAGTGATTGTTCAATAATTCGGGAAAGTATAGCTCGAGAACTGAACCTGAAGCTTAAAAAACAATTCATACTCTTACAGGATTTAATCATGCACTTGTCACTCCAATTGCAAAATCGAAAATTAAAATTAGCATTGACGAAATTCCTTTTAAAATAAATGTATTCATTGTTCAGGATAATCAACTCGCTAAATAAAGAAATTTTAATTGGTAGAAATGTTTTGCTTAAGTCGGAAACGAAAGCAATATCGAATTGTACTGGCGTAACGTTTACTTTAGACGACTCAAATAAAATGAGTAATACATTAGATGTAGAGATGGTCGATGTGGAGCGTGTAAAGCCCATACAAGAAGCAGATATTAAATGCGAAAATCTCGATTTAGAAACTAAAGAACAATTAATATCTTTGTTAAATAAATATCGTAAAACTGTGTCATTTAATATTAAAGAACTAGGAAAAACTAGTGCTACAGAAATGAAAATCGAATTAATGTCTGATACGCCAGTTCTTCATGCTCCTTATCGATTGTCTCTCTCCGACCGAAAAATAGTCAAAGAAATACTTGAAGAATTAGAGGAGCATAACATCATTCGTTAGAGTAATGCACCATACGCGAGTCCTATAATACTTCTTAAAAAGAAAAACGGGGAATGGCGAGTAGGGATAGATTACAGAGCACTTAATAAAATAACTAAACGCATTCAATATCCATTGCCACTAATTGATGATCATATAGATCAGCTAAAAAGAAGAAGCTTTCAATAAATTGAAGGATATTCTTTGCACTCAACCTCTGCTCCAATATCCAGATTTTACGAAAGATTTTATTGTAACAACAGACGCCTCTCAATACGGTATTGGTGGCGTTCTGAGTCAAAATTTCGATGGAAAAATTCTGCCCGTTGCGTACACATCCAGAATCCTTATAAATGCGGAAATAAATTATTCTACGATCGAAAAAGAACTTCTCGGAATTTTATTTTCAGTAGAATCTTTTAGGCCGTATTTATTTGGAAGAAGTTTTAAAATTCAAAGCGATCATCAACCCTTGATATGGCTTCACAACATGAAAAATCCCAATTCAAGATTACTCCGATGGCGACATCGTTTGAGTGAATACGATCACGGTATCGAGTATATTAAAGGTACAAAAAACACTGGAGCAGATGCATTGTCCCGTAATCCATGTGACATTACTGATGAAATACTGTACGGTCTACAAAAGGACATTACTTTTAATGACGAAGTTGATCCAATGGAAATTGATCCTACTCCACAGCATAAGGTGAACGATACACCTATGCATTCCACCCTTACAATTGACGAAATTGAAAGTAATGCTCGATTAGAGGCAGTATTTCTCAACATTCATTGGCCGGACAATGCAGATGACCAAAAATATTTTGGTAAAAATAAACCAAAATTTTTGCAAAATGACGATTTTGCAAATTGGAAATCTTGTGAGAATCTTGAGGCCACTGAAACTATTATTTATATTAGCAATATCGATAAGAAAAATTTATCTGATTCCGATGGAGTCATTGACCTTGAGGATCACAAAGTGAACTGCAGTCACGAGATTAAAATCAATCATCTTGATTCCGATAAGGTCATTGATTTCGAGGATCAAAGTGTGGACTGCAGCCATGAATGGACGATTCGAAATAGTTCGTTGGTCCATGAGAATAACGAGATTCTCAAATCCGATTGCGGAGAATCGGATATTAAAGGTGGTGGGAATCTCACAAGTACTGTACAAAATTGTATTGAAATTGATCAAATTAATAAAAAAATTTTAGACAGTGATCTTGATTTAGATTTCAACTTTGAGCGATGCGAGACCTGCTATCCATTACAAGACAAATCAAATTCTCATTCTTCCCAAAATAACAATTTTTCTTGTATTAAAATTTCCAAAGAAAATTTGTACATGCGCGATGATAATCTAGCAATTTTCATTCCTGCGGACAGAAAATTAACGACAGAAACAAACAGACAGTTAATTGATAACAATAGAATGGTAATTGATGACTTACTAAAAGCTGACGAAAACTTGATGGAAGTTGGTAACGCAATCGCATTCAAACATGAAAATTCCTTTATTTTCAATTTAGTTGTGAAGCCAACATTCGATTCCAAAATTGAATTTTCAGATATATCCTCATCTCTTCTAGGATTGAAATTCAGTATGGATGAATTGAAAATAAATTCAGTCAGCATTTCTCGTGTTGGTAACGGATTGAATCGTGTATCATGGCCTACTGTGGAATCTGAAATAAAAAGGATTTTTGGCAATGATAATTATTCAATCACAATCTGCTACGCTGAGGTAGAGATACCACACGAAAATGACATACCCGGTATTATTAGCGAATATCATTCTTCTACTTCAGGTGGCCACAAAGGCGCAATAAAAACCTTGGAAAGAATAAAAGAAAATTTTTATTGGCCCAATATGCGAAATTCTATCCGAGATTTCGTTAGAAATTGTGAAGCTTGTAAATTAAACAAGCTTGTCCGAGTAAAAACCCGACAACCTATGTCCATTACAGATACTCCATCCGAAGCATTCGAGAAAATTGAAATGGACATCGTTGGTCCGTTACCTGAAACAGAAAAGGGTAATAAATATATCCTGACGATCCAGGATAATTTGACCAAATATTCTCTGGCTATTCCTCTGCGAAGAATAGATTCCGTTTCAATTGCGAATGCTTTGGCCGAAAATTTCATCGCAAAGCACGGATGTCCCAAAAGTATGCACACAGACCAAGGACGAGATTTCACGAGCAAATTAATGAGTAATCTTTGTAAAATTCTCAAGATTAAAAAACTCTGCTCAACAGCGTTCCATCCACAGTCCTTGGGTTCCTTAGAGCGCAGTCATCATGTATTAATCTAATATCTAAAAAATTATTGTGATAAAGATAACTGGGACAGATGGGTACCTTACGCGATTTTCTCGTACAATACATCCAGACATGAAGGCACTGGATACACCCCTCATGAACTCATTTTTGGTAAAAGTGCTCGACTTCCTTCTGAATTTGCAAAAAGGAATTTGCCCATGACGTTCGATTTGTTTCTGAAAACATTATCAGAAAAAATTATCGAAACACAAAAAACAGCAAAAGACAAACTTCATGCAGCGAAAGAAAAGGCGAAACATTATTATGATCTAAAATTAAATTCACAAAGTTTTGAATTAGACGATCTCGTTTATTTGCAGAAAAACGACAGGAAAACAAAATTGGACCCAGAGTATTCAGACCCATATAAAATTATAAAAATTTTAGATGATAATAATGTTGAGCTTCAAATAAGTCAAAATAAAACGAAAATTGTTCACACTAACCTTCTTCGACCACAAGCTTTAAAAATTTTCTAATTAATAAGTTTGAAAGTAAATAAAAATTTTACCAGTGAAAAAAAAAAAAAAAAAACAGAAAATTTTTGTTTCACGTCACAGCTACATTTAATTATGCTGGCTGCTCCTTTTCATTGGGGGATGAGTGATTCATGAGCAACTTTATTTTTGCTCAAAATACTATTATTCCACCACATAAAACACAATTTTCGTTATTATTTAACAATTTCTTAACACTGCTGATAGTCGACAAAGTTTTCACGACACATAACCTAAATTCGATGTCCCTTTAAACTTACGTACAGTACACATGTTCATTCACCTGAACTCACTTGTTCAGCTGTCGTCTGCTATTGCAACATTAAGCACCTTTTACAGGTTGCGCAATAACGTTCGCTTGTGAACTTGTCCAAGTGACCGCGCATAGTTCGATTGTAATTTCATTTTAAAAATTAAAGTAAATAAAATGTAAATCATGTAAATATTAAACTTACAATCCATAATTAATACTTTAATTTTAAATTAATTTTCTAACAAAAAATTTTCATTAAGGGGAAAGGTGTTACGATCGACTATATTCTCGATCGGGTTTTAGAACGATATATCGAATCAGATATCGACGATGTATCGGACAAATAAATTTAAATAATTTAATGTTTAAAATTACTTAATATTAAACGAAATAAAATCTTTTCTAAAAAATGTTCTCACGATTGACTTTCTGAAATATAACACTTCAGAAAATCAGAAAAATACCATGACTAATTCTGTCACGGTTTAATTTGGTCCCACATCTCAAATTCACTTTCTAAAGTAAACAACTTTCAAGATATCCACAAAATAAAACAAGTAAATAATGTTAAAGAAATTCATTCTCGAATTTCCCTCTTAAAATCTTAAACCCTTAAAAGCCATAAAAATCTATCGAGATTTTATGATCCTTCTCTCCGCGGGACACTACACATGTGTTGACCAGACGTGGAATCTCGAGTCGCAAAATCGAGAAAGTCACGTTCTGGTATAACAAAGAAATCTTCCTTAACGGAGACGGCTTTGTATTATTTTATAATTATTTATATAAATTCCATATCAGAATATCATCTTCTCTATAGCATCTATATTATATCAACATTGTACGAACGGGTGTTTCATAAATTATAATTCGCATTAAATATATTTTGTAATTAATCATAATATTTTATTATTAATTAATTAATAATAAAATAGCTTATAAATTTATATAGCAAAATAATAATAATATTTTAATTATTATTAATTGGATTAAATACGAATTTATACGTAAATATCAATTGTAGTGTGATAACGTATGTCAGATATGTGAATGTTCATGTTTATATGATAACGCATATAAACATGATATCTATAAGTATATCTAGAATTAAAAAGTGCATAGTGCAGTGCGGCTGAATGCATCGCCTCGTAGATGCATCGAACTATAGTTGCGACATGCGCAAAGGACACTTACTAGATCTTAGAGCTGAGTCGGACTTCACAGCGAAGATCTCCGTTCTAGTATAGTCAGTCTTAAGATATTTGTACTCCTGGTTGGATCTATGCTCTTGGATCCAATCCTCTGTATATTGAACTTATCAAATAAATACCAAGGGTTTTATTCTAACTTGCGAACGATAAATAATTAATTATCCTTTTAATTATTAATTTGTCGTTCTCAATTAGAGGATTTTTCCCTCCGTTAAACGGAATTTAATATTCTTATTATTTCAAATTCCCGCTTTCTTTTTGAAGAATTCAACTAAGGTTGAATCCGAGAATTACTTAGACAAGTAGCGCTTGCGCGAATTAAATATTGGCTTGGCACGTAACATATGATAACATATTAGAAACAGAAGTACACACAGATGCAAGCGCAGTCGGTGTAGGTGCTATGTTAATTCAGAAAACGCGTTGTAGCTTACTACAGTAAAAAAACAACACCAGAAGAACAATAATACCATTCCTACGATTTGGAATCTTTGGCAGTATTTTTAGCCTTGAAACACTTTCGTATCTATTTAATTGGCATTAAATTCACCATAGTCACAGATTGCATCGCGATAAGAGCCACAGCAAATAAAAAAGATATTCACCTTCGAGAAAATAAATTTATTTCCTTAAATTACGTTACAAAACCAAATTTTATTTAGTATAATCATATTTCCCGTACCCTCTAAGTGAAAATTGTAGTTGACGCGAATTTTTATTTAAATTTATATTTTTTTACCAAAAAATTAGTGTAAATCGCAATGAATTTGAAGAAAAATTGAAAGTGTTTAACAGTGGTCAAAAAAGTAATCGAAACGCTTGGAATAAAAAACGTTTATTGGAAGTGACACAAGTACTTTTAGAATCCGAAGAAGTAAACAACGAAAAGCAGTTCATTTTATCACTGTTCGAAAATTTATGAAATTGTTAAACTTGGTGGTGAAAATCATATAATTTTAAAACGCAAACAAGAAAAAGATCCATTAATTTATGTCATTGCGATCGAGGATTATTACGACAAATTACTGGAGAGCCAACCATGTTCAAATAAATAATTAAAATTTAATTTAACTTAACCAATAAATAATAATTAACATTTAAAAATGTTTCTTTCAGTAAACCCGAAAAAATTTTTCTCCGTATTCTATATAAACTATAATATATAATTCAATTTCTATGTGTGTTAACCATTTTCTTCTATTTGCCGACACAGCTTTTGGCAAATAGCTAAATGACTAGTCACTTAGCTAAATGTCAAATCTATTCAGGCAAATAGACGAATTTAATCATTTTCCAAGTCCATTCGTCTAACTTGTGCGATTTAGCTAAACGCCTAGGCTTCTAGCTAAATGGCGAATTCTTCTAATTGCCTACGACATATATATGAACAAATTAAATATGACAACCTTTGAGTTGTTAATACATAACCTCAAAAAAATAAAAATAAATAAATGGATACGTAAAAAAATACATATAAACAGAAATTAAATAAATAATTAGGTACATATAAAAATAAATATGGCTCAAAATTTCTGAAGTGGGCCACTAATTTTTCGATGGCGAGATTTTTATAAGTCATATCAATAATTTTATAGTATTTTCGTATCAAAATAAGATCCTAAAGTTATATTGCAAAATTTTAATTTTTTTAAGAGTTATTGTTTAAACAATTTTTAAGCAGCCAATTAGTAAAAAAAGCTTTTCTACGGTTCCATTTGATGGATTTTGCTGAAATTTGGTGTGAGTAATGTACAATAACCATGCTTTCAAATAAAAAAAATTTGTTTCATTTTGTTCATAATTTGTTGAAAATAGCAACAATTATTATAAACAAATGAAAATTTATTAACCTTCTGCGCCTAATTTCGTATTTTTTCTTGTCAATTATGATTCCCTATTTTATCACGAGTATTTTAAAAAAAAAGTCAGTATATTGCATTAGGTCAAAAGTTATTAATATATTTGTGATCGCGGTCCGAGAACTAAGTGGAACGCCGCGCCGGACGAATACGCTGAAACACGTTAGAACACGAGCGCGCTCTTGGACCTTGCTGTTCTTTTGAGTGCATGTGTACAATTTAATTTTTAAATTCATATTTATTTGTAATTTCCCTTACTATTAAAAAATTATATCTGCATAATATTTAATAATTTTTCTATTTGTACAGAATATTTTGTATACGTAAGTATTTTAAATGCCTATTCGTTCATGAGTATTTTAAAGTTTATTGTTTATGAAAATTATAACCTTATATCACAAATATTTTTCACACTCTGCTTCTATTTCTCATGAAAAATAAAAATGCCGTCACCAAATGTATGCTGCAACCCCTTGTTAAAGAAAAATCATAGACGTGTGATGAAAAACCTTAATTTAGTGACTGAAAAATTTGATAAAAAATTTACTAATCTTGTCGGGAAGTATATTTGCACGTCATGTAACTTTATTAATAATAATAACAATAATTCTTATTAATTATTATAATACGATAATAACAATAATTATTATTAATTATTATTATTATTATTAAATTTATATGACGGCAAATATACTTCCCGACAAGATTAGTAAATTTTTTATCAAATTTTTCAGTCACTAAATTAAGGTTTTAAATTTGTATTATTATTATTAATTATTATTATTATTATTAATAACGAACGAATAGGCATTTAAAATACTTACGTATACAAAATATTCTGTACAAATAGAAAAATTATTAAATATTATGCAGATATAATTTTTTAATAGTAAGGGAAATTACAAATAAATATGAATTTAAAAATTAAATTATACACATGCACTCAAAAGAACAGCAAGGTCCAAGAGCGCGCTCGTGTTCTAACGTGTTTCAACGTATTCGTCCGGCGCGGCGTTCCATTTAGTTCTCGGACCGCGATCACAAATATATTAATAACTTTTGACCTAATGCAATATACTGACTTTTATTTAAAATACTCGTGATAAAATAGGGAATCATAATTGACAAGAAAAAATACGAAATTAGGTGCAGAAGGTTAATAAATTTTCATTTGTTTATAATAATTGTTGCTATTTTCAACAAATTATGAACAAAATGAAACAAATTTTTTTTATTTGAAAGCATGGTTATTGTACATTACTCATACCAAATTTCAGCAAAATCCATCAAATGGAACCGTAGAAAAGCTTTTTTTACTAATTGGCTGCTTAAAAATTGTTTAAACAATAACTCTTAAAAAAATTAAAATTTTGCAATATAACTTTAGGATCTTATTTTGATACGAAAATACTATAAAATTATTGATATGACTTATAAAAATCTCGCCATCGAAAAATTAGTGGCCCACTTCAGAAATTTTGAGCCATATAAGAAAAAATTCTATTTCTTACATTTTAAAATAATTTCAATGTTTAATTTTTTTTTTAGAACAAAATTTTTAGTTTTTCTAAACTTCAGATGTCCAGCAGCTTTTCAAAAAAATTTAGAAAAAAAAAATTTTGTATAAATTTTGTTCGAAGTTCGCCTAAACTCCTTCCAACAACAAAAAACCATAATTTTTCAATTAAATATTTTCAAAAATTGTAATTCAATATTCGATTATTTAAATAAATTCAATATTGACTGAAATTAAAAAAAAATTCAGTAATTCAATTTAAAACAATACTTGATGTATCTGTCAAAAATTATTTTTTAAACATTTTTTCGATAAATTATAAACGAGAAACATTTCGTCTTGTGCAGCTTCATTCAAAGATAAATTAAAACATAACTTTTAATTAATTTTTGATAA